CTACAGCGCACTTATCGCATCTCCGCAAGCTTTTTGATATTAAAGACTTCCTTGGGTTGGGCTTTGTGTACAATTAAGAACATGATACTTACAAGTATAAAAACATTCTTCAATCAATATTTGCTTTACGCAACATTAAACTTATATATTTAGTGCCGATCTCACAGTTGTTCAAGAGCTGTAATATTCATTTCGTCGACATATAAGTTCATGTTAAACCTTGCTCTTTATTTTGAATCATTAACGCTTGGAAGATATTTGAGCGTGAAAATGGTATTATTAACTGATAGGAGCAGAATTCTTGGCTCTTTTATTTTACTCTCCTTGCTTACTTTTACTTCTCTTATTTCCAAAATCTTCAAGCAAAACTAATTGTTTTTATGAATGGCACAAATCATTTTCATAAATTGTTTCCTTGTGGTAAGTTGGTTTCGAAAGTTTTTTGATTTTCCATCAGAAAATGGAAAAGGAAACGCACACAATTTCTAGAACTAGAATGAAGGCTAAAATACTCAAGTAATGAAAGGACAGCACAATTTTCTAGAAACTTGGCCGCTTAATCCAAAATCTAACTCAAACCTGCTTTTTAGCTGTTGATAATCTATACTTGAAGCAGATTTTTCACAGCTGGTAATTAATACACGTCTTCAACAATTTTTTTAACAAAAGAAATTTTCCCGTGTAAATCTCGCATTCAGATTCAGAGTTCATTGTACTTTAAACTGTAAGACGACCATTTTTAATAAAACGATCTAATTTCACTTTCTGCCGCATTTACACTCAAACCAGCTAGTACTTGCGCGTACAATTAGTTAGGTCAGCTGAAACCGAATTACTTTCTGTTCCATTTGGTAGTGTAACCTAGGCTACTGAGTGTCAACCATGGAAATCATGACATTTGGAAGCTACTTTGTATGCTGGCATTTAACAGCCTCAAATAAAAGAACGCTCTCCTCTTCATAAATGGAACGCATTGCCATCCTCATCGTTCTTACGGTCATCATGACTTCGCTGTGCTTGGGAAAAGCATATGCCTCAAATACCAAAAGCATTTCAATAAACATCCAACTTCAATCTCGACAGTTATGAAGTATCGCTGTGACAAAAAAAGGCTCAGCATTGGATCCTAGTTCTTCCCTTGCATCTCCCGCAGAATCTCGGTTACATAACGCTTTATTTTTAAAATCAATAGAAGAGGGGAAGTGGTAAAGACACGTGCTGTTAGAACACTGTGTAATCTGTATCTGACGTCCAAAGTGACTATCTCAGAGGAAGCTTCTGTATGCTTACAATGTTTTGACTAGCTTTAACAACTGCGCCTCTTGCAAGAAAAGCGATAGCGCTATGATATTCTGAGTAGACCAAGAATGGATTAGCGCCAATGAAGCCAAGTCGATCGTATATACGCGGTTCCTCTCCTGCTCAAAGGTCCTATGCAATTATTACGGCATTCTCGGTATACATTAAAGTGTTGATAACGAATAACTTAATGAGTTTCAAGAGTTGACCTATTAGGCATTGCATAAGGTGCTTAAAGGCGGCACTCCTAAGCAGACTAATTGCTACATCTAATAGATAAGCTAATAAAAAGAGTGGACGCTTATACAGTCGCGGTTTTGTTGCTTCTTCGTAATAAACTAGAC